CGTGTACCAGCTTTGGTTGCTCACTCTGTACAGAGGCTCTCACACCCAGGAATGTTACCCACTATATTTTTATTAAATGGCATCTATTTACTGGAGCACTGAGAAAGCTGATGTGAACCCGGTGTAGCCACAAGACTTTTAAATTTTACACAGTACAGTACTTTAATCTATATAAATAAAAATGGAAATGTTTATTTGTTCAAAATCACTAATCTCCGAAAGTTCTTCACCGATTGCTTTGAAATTTTCACACAATGTTCCATTCGCATCCGGCCAGGTTTTTATATACAGTACATACTATTTAAATGTCACGTCTGTGAAGGTAAAACAACATGCTTTTTCTGAAAAATTGAGTTTTTCATGTGAGGGAAATCTTCGAAACCTCTTTACCGATTGCTTTGAAATTTTGACACAACGTTGCATTCGAGTAGGGGTATCTTTTCATATATCTATTATATACATGCCTCATATGTAACAGGAAAAAACATGCTTTTTTTGAAAAACAACGCCATCTGTTGGACGTAAGAGCAACACACACTGTAATCTCCGAAAGTTCTTTACCAATTGCTTTGAAATTTTGACACAACTTTGCATTCGAATAGGAGCGTCTTTTGTATATACCTACTATATAGATGTCACTCCTGTGAAAGGTAAAAACATGCGTTTTTTTAAAACCGCGCCATCTGTTGCACATAATAGCAACATGAACGCTATACTAAATATGTCACAAATTCCATTTCAATGTTTCCGATTGCATTGATAAATTTTATTTTCATAGATTTTGATTTTATTTCTTCATTGAATTATTTTGTGTGACATTGCGTTGGAATTGAGCTGTATTGTTTACCATACCATTCATTTTGTGAGTATAGTTTTGTTTATATATTTTCATTTAATTTTTAAACTTTTTCTTATATTTCAGTGATGGGAAATGGTGGGGATGACGTGGGGACGGAAGTGAAAGATGGTGGGGAGGACGAGGGGACAAGGGAAGGGGTAATGGTGGGGAAGGAAGAGGGGACGGGGGAGTTTGGGATGGTGGGCACGAGGTGATTGGGGAATAGAGAATGGTGGGGAGGACAAAGGGACAGGGGAGTGGGGCATGATGGGAAGGAAGAGGGGACAGTGGAATGGGGAATGGTTAGGAGGCCGAGGAGACGGGTGAGCGGGGAAAATTGGGAAGGACTGGGGGACAGGGAAAGTTGCTGTGGCCACAGCAACGCGTGGCCGGGTACTGCTAGTATGTATATATATATATGTATGTATGTATATATATATGTATGTATATATATATATATATATATATATATATATATATATATATATATATATATATATATATATATATATATATATATATATATATATATGATATGTGCCGTGCAGGCAGTTAGACCAAAATTGTATATTCAGTAACACCTTGGCTTACGAATGACCCTATTTAGGAACTTTTCGGGTTACGAGCCCGATTTCTTCAGAAAATAAAAATTGGGTTATGAGCTCTGCCTCGGGAAACAAAGTTTGTTGATACGCGTATGGCCGACCTAGTGCATGATGGTACAGCGATCGCACCTCAGTTTGCCAGTGCCTCCCTCCTAGTGACAATCGCGCCTGAATTCTTTGTAAAGAATTAGTTTTTTCGGATTTTTGGGTATTTGAACATATAAGTTTTTGTTATATATCTCACCATGGGTCCCAAGAAAGCCAGTGGTAAGGTTCAAGCCAAGAAAACACACGTGACAACAAATCTCAGTCAACGATATCCACCATACTGGCTTAGAAAAAGGACATTACGAGTGCTAAAGTGGCAAAAGGCTTAACAATTGTGAAACAAAGAACACAAACACTTGAGGACATTGAAAAGTTATTAATTTGGATACACAACAAGGAGTTAGCAGGTGATAGTGTTTCAGAGGCCATCATCTGTGAGAAAGCAAGGCAATTGCATGAAGAACTTTTAAAGAAAACCCCTGGAACGAGTGATGCAGATACGAAAGAGTTTAAGGCAAGCGGGGGATGGTTTGAGAAATTTAGAAAAATAAGTGGTATTCATAGTGTTGTGAGGCATGGGGAGGCTGCCAGCTGAGACAAACCAGCGGCTGAGAGATTTATCAACGAATTTAAAGATTTGGAAGGGGACTCCCCTTCCGAACACTAACACCTCTCCTCCTTCCCCCTCCTCACCGTCCTCCATACGCCAACAAGAGTCATCAGTAAAGTTAAGTAATAACTTGTACATACTTTAGTACTGAAGATTTGGGTGAATTACGTATAAAATTTACATTCAAGTTAATTTTTTGGGGAGTCTGGAACATATTAATTCAATTTACATTATTTCCAATGGGGAAATTCGCTTTAGTTCTGGGAACGGATTAATTAAGTGCTATGTATAGTTGGAAAATGAAAGGAGCAATAAATACTAATTGTAAAATAGATGTTGTATTCAGTAAAGTTGAAAATAAAAGTGGATTTTGGAGGATTCTGGAACCTAATTCTGTTTTATCCATACATTGCAACTCTAAGTTTGATTCCTTCCTTTTTTTTGCAGAAACGTAACTCCTGCAAAAGTTGAGCGCCGTCTGCACCTAAAATGGACCAATAGTCCAAGTCGTAACTCTCACATAATCTGGCTAAGGTTCAGAATGATATGCTGTAGTTTGAATTTTAGAGGTGCAACTGTACATAAAGAGTTTGGAAAGGGTTTAATAAGTTATTCAAAAACAAAACATTGATATTTCTTTCAGCATGTGAGAATTCTTCTTTAAAGTGAGAAAAACTGAGGCGAGTAGTACATGTCACACAGTTAAGATAACAGTGGTATGATATAAGACGTAAATTTTCAAATATTTTAGACACTTAGTTATTATAAATTATCTTGAGATACACAATTTACCATCTTATCAAATAATTCTTTGAAGCTACTCTGTAAATGTTTAAATCAAATACCCAAAATTATCTACTGAAGTTTTATATATATGTAGACTGTCCTAATCATTACTTAAGCACCAGTGATCAGTGTTCTACAATGTCTACATATTATCCAGCGAGTCTCACTAGTAACAGTAGGAAAATATAAGCCTAATGACCCACCTCCAAAAATTCTTATACAGAGCACCACTTGGTTTGCCAACCCCTTGGGGACGATACCCGTCGGTTATCGTGTCAGTTTGTAAACAAGAATTGGAGGAAAATGGAGATAGAAAAAATATAGGGGGAAAAATCGATAGTTTCATAGCATAAATGAGACAGTATTTTGTTTGCACTCATCAATAAGAGAAATTCTGATCTACTTCTCCCTCACACCTTTACTGCTGCTCTCCCTCCCCCTCCCCCCCCCCTCACTACTGCTGCTCTCCCTCCCCGCCCCCCTCACTACTGCTGCTCTCCCTCCCCTCCCCCTCACTACTGCTGCTCTCCCTCCCCCTCCCCCTCACTACTGCTGCTCTCCCTCCCCGCCCCCCCTCACTACTGCTGCTCTCCCTCCCCGCCCCCCTCACTACTGCTGCTCTCCCTCCCCCCCCCCCTCACTACTGCTGCTCTCCCTCCCCCCTCCCCCCCCCTCACTACTGCTGCTCTCCCTCCCCGCCCCCCTCACTACTGCTGCTCTCCCTCCCCCCCCCCCTCACTACTGCTGCTCTCCCTCCCCCTCCCCCTCACTACTGCTGCTCTCCCTCCCCGCCCCCCTCACTACTGCTGCTCTCCCTCCCCGCCCCCCTCACTACTGCTGCTCTCCCTCCCCCCCCCCCTCACTACTGCTGGTCTCCCTCCCCGCCCCCCTCACTACTGCTGCTCTCCCTCCCCCTCCCCCCCCTCACTACTGCTGCTCTCCCCCCCCCCCCCCCTCACTACTGCTGCTCTCCCTCCCCCCCCCCCCCCCCCTCACTACTGCTGGTCTCCCTCCCTGCCCCCCTCACTACTGCTGGTCTCCCTCCCTCCCCCCAGGTGGCTTGCTCAGTAGATTGCCAGTCAGAGATAGCCTGGAGAATCTCCATCTAATACAATAAAGCATTCACGAAACAAGTATTTTTATAACTTTTTGTTATCCTAATAATATTACTAAACAAAATATGTAACCAAGAATATATATGATGATGTCCATCTAAAATTTCATAAACAAATCTGGGTAACAGGGTCGAGTGTGTTACGCTTATCAGAGTGAGCCCGTCCCCCCCCCCCCCCACCGACAACTTTCCCCACCCCCCACACACACACTGCTTCAAGGTCATGTAGCCTGCCTGCCTGCCTTTCCCTCCCTCCATGTCGACCTCCCTCCCTCTCTTACTAATTCTTCCCCTCCCCTTGCTATTTCCCTCCCTTCCTGCCTCTCTCCCTGCCTACCTCCTAGCATCTCTCTCAATAATTCTTCCCCCTCTCTCTCTCAGCCATCACTGGCACAATGTGTGCATTTGGAGCCGACAGGGTGCACAGATGTTCCTTAATTGTGCAGATATGTAAAACAAAGTCACAGAATGAACGCACCAGCCTCGTGACAAATCAAAACAATGGGAACAATAAGCCGTGAATCTGTGACGTCACAGGGTAGAAGGCACTCTAGAATGGTGCCTTCAACCAGTCCCGACAGTCAGTGAGCAAACTAGGCCATCTCCCACCCATCCACCACTCCGGGTCGGCGCGACGCTTGGCGGACCGCTTCCTACCCGAACTTATTTCGTATAGTATGACTCCCCAACCCCAATCGGGAAAGTGAAACTTTTGGATAACTTAAGTTCGCAAACCAAGCGGCTGTCTGTATAATAAAACTTTACAACAGTTCCTTCCAAAGGTCATGACTGTGCCAAAGACATAAATAACATCTGATAAACTGATAAAAATTTACACATGTTTTCATGGCAAACAGCATGCCATAACTCTGAATTATTTGCACAAACATTCATGATATAACAGTCACACACGCTTCGGTAAAGATGCTTCACAGATTCGGTACACTACTTCACAGGATTTGTTATTACATTTTTTTGGCTTTAATTTAAAAAACTTGCTTTAACTGATATATAGTTATTTTTATTAGGCACTATAGTTCACAAAACCATAGATAAATAATTGTTAAAATATAAATAGGAGTACGCATACACCCATTACGGCACACACACACACACACACACATGCGCTGAATTAAAATATACAAAAATATTTTATTTCGTAAAGAATTATGATTAAATTAAAATTATTGTCCAAATAATTTGAAGAAAAGCAAAATTGATCTAACAGATTAATGGAATTAAATCACTAAAGATTTAATTTAATATTTGGAGTAACACAATGCCCTGAGTAATTCCCTCCACAACTGCCCATGGTGGTAATTCTGGATACTGGTTGAGTGAATGCCTTGCAAAGGCAAATCCTTACAATTACAAAATTATACTTCAAAATTAAAATGTTTAACAGTTTATCCATAAATTTTTTATACAATACTTAATAACAATGTCATTACCGGTTCAAGATTCAAGAAACTCCAGTTACAGACTACTGTACCATGGAGGAAACCATTGTTTATATGTACTACAAATACAATGCTGTAGCTTTTTAAGTCCAGCCTGTCATCTTCAAGTACAATATAACTTTAAAAGATACTTTAGAACTCAATTGATAAAGATTTGCCTACTGAAATTACTGTATAAAAATAAACTAATGGAACCTGCAAGTACAGAAGGTAAAGTTTCTAATAAAGCTTGTAAAAAATAATAAAATACTGAGATACATCACAACCTCAACATCACATACTAAAACAAATTTTCTATTGCGTCTTAAATTCTTTGTATTACAGAAGTTGCATCCAACTTCATAAGTGTTAACTTTTATTAATAGATTCGTGATAATACTTCTTAACTAGTATTATACAAATTCAATTCCTTCAAATTTATAGTTACCAATTTTTGTTTCTGGCAGGAGCACTTTTCCTGCTAAATTGAAAGCCATGATATATGATGCCACTTGTCCATTCACTTCTTCTGATTTAAGTGCCACAATTATGTTGTCCTTTGTTCCGGGTATAAACTTGAAACTTGAGAAGCCATGTGTGTCTATGATCTCTCCCACATGCTTTACCTAAAGGAAATGTATATAGGAAATGATACATGATTTACTAGTCAAATATAACCATTAAAAAAACCAGCATTAAATGTAATGAAACGCCATTTTCTGGGTGAGACCCGGAGGCTCCCCGGAGCTATCCAGGCTGATATTGCTAATGTCAGACTTGGGCATCAGTCATGTGTATGGAGTTCTTAGGCCTACCGGGTACCACGAGCCAGAACCTGACCTCTCTCAGAGAGGCACGAGGAGCAATGGTCTATAGAAACCCCCCCCCCCCCCTGTGTGGTTGGAAGCATTCTACGTCTGCCATCAACCGGGTCAAGCACCCAGAAAGATATGCGCCCCAAAACAAACCCCTATTCTAGTGAAAATTGCTACAAAAAGCCAAACTATTGGACAGAACTCCCCAAACAAAAACAAGCAAACGAACATGACGTCACAAGTCGCTGTGCCGCTGTCTGCGCAGCTCCCCTCTTCCTGGGAGGAAAAGGGGAAAACCCCAGACCCTCGCGCCGGCAATCCACACCCCAGTCCTGAGGCTGGATATCAAAACACGAAAAATACGCCGACTGGGGGTAGGGAGGGTTGCCTAGGAGCCTCTGGGTCTCGCCCAGAAATTGGAGTTTTCATTACATTCAATGCTGGTTTTCTGGGGGAAGCCCCATCGGCTCTCTGGAGATGAACAAACCAAAAGATGAACACTAGAGGGACTTACCCAGGAGGCGGTCGCCACTCACTCCTCAACGCGAAGTCGAGACAACTGGGTGCAACCGCCGACACAAAGCGACACAGCCCCAACTATGCCCAGGAACATTCACCAAGTAATGCGCAGCCAGGAGCCTATTCGACCTCCAAAAACCCCGCACCCGAATTTCAACACAAGACATATTCCCAAAAACAGCAGCAAGGGCAGCAAATTTATGAACATCATGGGCACAGGGATAGACAGCAGGCTGGATAGACCGAATAACCATGCGGACAACCCGGGAGACCCTGAAACAGGGCAGAAGGGAAACCGGATCAACCCAAAGCACATCCTCGGTCATAGAGACTGTGGCGCACACATAAAAGCAGAGCCACAACTGGACACAACACATGATGCACCCCGGCCTAACGAACCAAGCATCAACAACCCAAGAACCCCCTCTGGAAAGCAGCAGTCTCATTCTTCGCCAGAAAAGGAGGAGATGGCTGCAAACGAAGAAACTTACCACCAGGACTAAACGAATAGAAACCCCAGGCCGGAAAAGAGCATGAAGCTCCCTGACCCGATCTCCAGAGACCAATGCTAACAAGAAAAAAGCCTTCTTGAGGTTATCTTGAGATGATTTCGGGGCTTTTTAGTGTCCCTGCGGCCCGGTTCTCAACCAGGCCTCCACCCCCCAGGAAGCAGCCCGTGACAGCTGACTAACACCCAGGTACCTATTTTACTGCTAGGTAACAGGGGCATAAGGTGAAGAAACTCTGCCCATTGATTCTTGCCGGTGCCCGGGATCGAACCCAAGACCACAAGATCACAAGTCCAGCGTGCTGTCCGCTCGGCTGTCCGGCTCCCTTAGAGAAACAGTCCTGAACCGAAGAGGCCACTACAAACTGAGGAGAAAAGAGAAAAAAGAGAGCACCCTGTCCAACGATCAGGACTGCTCAAGTAGCACATGAGCAGGCCAGAGGTGAAACAATGCACAAGAGAGCTTGCGAAACGGCGCAGAAGTAACATCAATACCGAAAGCAAGCTGCAGCGGCTCCGCCAGCGCTGCACGATAGGAGGCGACAGTAATCAGCATAAGACGACGGTCCTGGATCAACCAAGAAAGAAAGGACATCATTAACAGACAGCAAAGTACACCTACGAAGCGAAAGAAAGAAACGGAAGGACCGCTAAGAGACTTCATACTGCTGCCGAGATGAAAGCCCACAGGTGGGACACCAGCAATGAAGCCACCTGATCACCAGAGATGATGATAGATCAGAGTCAAAATACCATACGCGTAGACTTGAGAAGATCGAACCAGCCATGTGACATACCGGGCCGATCTGCTGAAAGAGGCGGAGCTGCGGGAAAACCTCCGGGTTCGGACACCGAGCAAGCAGCGCCTGAAACCAGGTTGACCGGCAACCAAGGGGCCAAGAGGACTACTCTTCCCTGGTAAGTCTCCAAGCGAGTCAGGACCTGGAGCAACAGCGGAACCGGGGGAAAGAGGTACAGGAACCCCACCTCAACCAGTCCTGCTGAAAGGTATTGACCCTGACTCACAGTCGGGGAAGGGCACCTCATATCGGGAAGTGTCACGACCACGCCGACCCGAAGAAGTACACCTCCGGGCGCCCGAACATCTGGCAGAGCCAACTGAATGAGTTGGCGTCGACCATCCATTCCGTGGATAAAGGAACGAACCGAGACAGGCCGTATGCCATGACGTTGGACACCTCCCGAACGTGGACTGCCAAGACAGCCAAACCCCCGAGAACTCAGCAGACGAGTCACCCAAAGCGACCAGCACCAAAGAGCCAAGGACCACATCGAACCACCTCGGTTCAGACAATGAACCACCAGGGAGCAGTCCGAATGGAGTCTGATTGTCGATCCACGGGCAACCCGAGCCTTCTGAAGGGAGAACCATACCGACTCGAACTCCCGCACCATGCTGTGGGCTCGACGGAAGAACGGACCCCACTGCCCCTGGCCGGCTTGGTGAGCACTGGTCACAAAGCCCCAGCCGAGAGACGACGTGTCCGGGAACACATCGAGCGAGGGCTCGGGTTGGCGCCAAGGCACTGAACCCCGAAAAACCTGAAGAGGAAGCCGGCGATGCTGCAGCCGACGCAAGGCTCCCAGTCGAACTCAGTGATCGCGAGAGAGGCGGAAGGGACATCCCCAAAGGAACCAGAACAGCTGACGAAGCTAAACCCTGACCCGGCGAGTAGACCATCATCGCAAAGTTCAGGCTTCAACACAGACCCTCGAACAACCTCCGGGTGACCCGGACAACGAAAGCGGTAACACTGATCACAACAAAACCGAGCCAGTCCCTGAACCCCAGATGAATCGGAATGTGCCAATATGTGTCCCGGAGGTCCAGACACACCATCCAAGCGCCCGGCTCCAACAAAGCCGGACCTGGGACAGCGTAGTCATCCGAAAGGAGGGGCAAAGAACCCAGGAGTTCAGATGGGACAAGTCCAGAATGAACTTCAGGTCTGCAGTCTTGTTTCAGGACTGGAAACAGGCTTCAGATCCACCTGAAAGATGTCGTCGTTTCAACCACGCCCAAGTGCACCCACTCCAAGACAACTTGACAGAGGGCAGGAGAAGAGGCCTGCAGCGCCAGCCCCGAACCCTCCGAGGGAGGAAGGGCCACCCAATGCCACCGCAGACCATCGGAAACGACCCGAAAAGCCCACAAATCGTGAGGCTTAAGCAAAGAGAGCAAGCCTTCTCCCCATTGCCCCAGCAATGGGATGAACCACGAAAGGGCCGGCACCCCTTAGGAGAACTCGAGCTTTACACAGAGCGAACACCACACTGATTAGGTGGTTTATGCCACCCAGCCGGGAGGCATAAAACAGCGACACCGCATCCCGCAGGATCGACGTAAACAGCTTCAACAAGGTAGATGACGAGCGAGCCGCGGAGCCCAAGACACCGGACCCAGGAACGGTCCGGCCCCAAGCGCCTCCACATCCTCCTCAAGCCAGTCAGCAGACAGTTCCAAGAAGGAAAAGAGACGTTAGGCCAAAGCCAGGAGGCCACGAGTGCGCAAGTTCTCAGCAACCTGCACAGCCAAAAGGGAGAGAACCAGCACATGAAGATGCACAGCGCCAACATCCCGAGGAAGGGCAGGAGGCAAACAAGCACTCATTGAGGTGCTCAAACTCCCCCCCCCCCCCCCCATCGTCAATGCCTCACACCACTCAAGCGTGCGGGAACGACAGAAGGTATGCCAAGCCTCCAAACCAAAAACAGGACAGTCCGTCAGCCAGGACGACTCCGGAACCTCATATCGGATCCAGTAGGGAAACGAAGACCCAAATCTGAATGAAGATGGATCCATTATAGAGGCATAATCCAGGTAATGCAGGAGTTAAGCTGCAAAGGCCTCCCGTACCACATGAGGCTGGATGCAGGAAGCCGAAAACCTCAGGAAAGACGGGACAGAAGCACCCGGGGTCAGCACCCAGGGAGGGGCTGACACCAAATCCAATTCGTACGCAGAGGGGGGGGGGGGGGAACCCCAATCCTTAAAACAGTAAGCCCCGCTCAGTGGGTAGAAAAACCCAGGCAGAGTACAACGGGGCCCAAGGCCCCCAAGTCAGTCCCTCCCCCGCCCTTGGATCCTTCACATCAGGACCCGGGGCCGAGTCATCTCCCAACTTCCCAGCCTCAGAAGAAAAGGCCAGTGCAGCCGTAAAAGCCGGACGGAAGGGGGCCCACGGGTCAGACCCAGATGCTATGGCAGGGAGAACCAACTCGAATGCCTCCGTCACCACACCAGAAGGGGCATCCCCCGAGACTGCCCGAGTCTCAAGACGATCTAAACCCTGCCCCAACTCCGAAACCCTCAGACGTTTCAGAGCTGGAAGCAGGAGGGGGTGGGGGGGACCAGGTCGAACCACAGGAGGGGAAGAACGAGGGGGGGCACGGACATAACCAAGGCCGAAGCGACCAACACCCTCAGGTCCGGGTCCCTATAAGCAAAACGGAGCAGTCTTGGGGCGTGTGGCACAGCAACCGACCTAGAGCGTTGCAACAACCTAAACCTAACATGCAACGCTTGTGCTGCCTGCACCCAAATAATGTCATCAGTAGATTGGGTAAACTGAGTCACCAGCAAGCAACAAAACTCACAGGACTCTGAGTCGAAAGTGCCATTGCCCTAACAGGCTGCATGACGGAGACAAACAATGAGTCACCCTGAGACAAGGGGACAGAGCAACCCTCGAACTCGCACAGAGCGAAGGGAGACTCAGGGGCCACATCCATCGGAGCCACGCGCCCCCCGTGGGGATTCCCAGGGTCCTGAGACAAAACTCACACTCAGGGAAGCCCAGGCAGGGTACTGCTAACCAGCGCCCAAATCTACCAAACAACTTTCTAATAGTTGAACCCCCGGGACGTGTACACTCACGGGGACCTAGCAAGGTACCACCCAAAAAATTAAGAGCACTCAGTGCATAGGGGACAAAATCCAAGGCAGACCCCCCCCCCCCCACCATGCAAGTAAACAAAAAGAATAGAAAACCCCGTAAGAGGACAGCATACCCAGGCGGAACAGAGCCGGCCACTATAAATGGTGAAAACAAGTTGCGCAGTACCCTGCGCCCCTTACCGGTGCAAACTGCCTCCTACCCTAAGGCGAACTAAGGGAGTCAGAACACCCTAGCACACAAAGGGCGGCCGAAAACTGAGCAGCAAATGGCCAAGCAGAGGCAGAACCCAAGGAACTTGTGGAAGGCAGTCCCAAGCCCCAAGGGCAGTACTTACCGGGCACCTAGGGAAGGGAACCGTAGGTGCATGCAGCCCAATATACTTGTAAGAACACCTGGCCACCACACAACACAGCTGGCAAAGCCACACAAAAGCCTAAGGCCAGAGAGGGCTTCTGACATCTGGCACATCAGTCTATGAACTGAGGGTGGTGCGGCCTGCTCTCCCGAGCAAGGTTTCCCCTCTTCTCTGTCGGGGGAAGGGTGAGGCATTAATGAGAGGGCGTACGAGTTGGATGACGTGTTGCTTATTTCACTGTTTTCTATTGGGGAGTTCTGGGCCTTTGTTCGGACGTAGGTTGCAATTTCAACCAGTTAGAGGTTTGTAATGGTTCACTTACCTTTCTGGGTGCCTTCCCCAGTTGATGGCAGAAATGACAAACTTTACATAGAGAGAGCTCATTTGGCCATTGCACCCTGCGCCTCTCTAAGGGGACCAGGTTCTGGCTTGTGGCCCCCAGTAGGCACTCAAACTCCAAGGACTAATGCACCAAACTAATAGGCACATGTCAGTTCGATAGGTTCAGGGAGCTGACGGGGCTCCCCTTTGAAAATTGCAAATATGGTCATTTTTAGACTTCCCCTCTAAGAATTCTGCTTATCCAGTAAGGGGGGGGGGGGTCCTTCCCATATAGTCCAGATAAGCATGCTTTGACAGTAGTTAAATTCTGTAAGTAAAAGTGTTTCGCAACGCAAACGCAAAGCGTTTCTGCCCGAAACACTTTGCGTAATGGTGGCTTTAGGCATTGTATGTACTAGCACTATCTATAAATCCATCAACTTTTGTATCTCACCTTGTATGTATGTACTTTACCTGAATAAATATTTGTATTTGTATTTGTAAACTAATAACATGAATGTGATAAGTGATAAAAAATAATTGCAATAATTAGACATAATTTGATGATACCAAAATGGAGTAAATGGAGCATAATAATTACCTCAATCTTTTCAAATCCTTCAGTGGCCTTAAGCATAATGTCTGTACCACGATGCTCATCTTCATTCTCATCATAGCGTGTACTTGAAGCTCTTCGTGGAAGAAACACCCAGCGTTGCAGCCTTTCAGACCATGCACATGATTCATGAATCATGTAACCTGGCATATTTTGCAAAGATTAATTCTACATAACATTGAAATAAAAAAGCAAAAGTTTCAGTGTAACATGATAAGAGGTTCAGAGATTTTTGTACTAATCTATCCCTCTCAGATATAGTATCCACTCGATTTAATGACCTATATGGGGCTGAAGTCAGGTCATTTAATGCAGGGCTGCTCTAAAACTGGAGTTTTAAAATTTAACCCCTGCCCCGCCCCCCCCCCCCCACGCAAGTTGTAGCGGCTCTGCCAATGCTGTACGATAAGAAGCAACAGTATTCGGCTTAAAACACCGCTCCTGAAAGAGCCAAAAAAGGACAAAACAACTGGAACCGACACTGACAAAACCTGATGAAGGTTAAAGAAATGGCAGAAAGACCGCCAAGAGACTTCATACTGCCACTGAGAGGAAGACCGCAGGTGGGACACCATCAAAGAAGCCACCTGATCACTATACAAATGGCAATATACACGGGTCAAAAAACCAGATGCGAAGAGTGGAAGAGTGTGTCAAACCAGCAAGGTACCTCACCAGCCTGACCTGCTGAAAGAGGTACCTGGTTGATACCTGGTTGATGGGGTTCTGGGAGTTCTTCTACTCCCCAAGCCCGGCCCGAGGCCAGGCTTGACTTGTGAGAGTTTGGTCCACCAGGCTCCAGGCTGTTGCTTGGAGCGGCCCGCAGGCCCACATACCCACCAAAGCCCGGTTGGTCCGGCACTCCTTGGAGGAATAAATCTAGTTTCCTCTTGAAAATGTCCACGATTGTTCCGGCAATATTTCTTATGCTTGCTGGGAGGACGTTGAACAACCGCGGACCTCTGATGTTTATACAGTGTTCTCTGATTGTGCCTATGGCACCTCTGCTCTTCACTGGTTCTATTCTACATTTTCTTCCATATCGTTCACTCCAGTACGTTGTTATTTTACTGTGTAGATTTGGTACTTGGCCCTCCAGTATCTTCCAGGTGTATATTATTTGATATCTCTCTCGTCTTCTGGTGGTGGTGGAGCCGCAGAAAATCAGGTTCGGACACCGTGTAATCAGCGCCTGAAACCAAGGCTGGGCTGGCCACCATGGAGCCAGGAGAACCACTCTAGCCCAATAGGATTCGAGCCAAGCTAGAACCCAGCAACAGCTAGACCGGGAAATAAAGGTAAAGGAACCCCTACCATGTCCAGTCCTGTCGGAAAGTGTTTACCGAGAAAGCCTTGCAGTCGAGGAACAGCGCCACGTATAATAGAAGGAGCCGGGACCAAGCCAACACGAAGAAGTCTACCTCTGGGCACCTGAATGTCCGACAAAGCCAAAGGATGGAGGGGGGCGACAGCCATCCACTCTGTGGAAAAAAATAAAGCGAGACATTCCGTCCGCCAGGACATTGGACACTTCCTGAATGTGAACAGCGAGGAGATATAAACCTCAAGAACTCAGCAGAAGAGCTACCCGAAGTGACCAGCCACGAACTTCAGAGACACCCCTTCCCCATTAGGACAATGAACCACCAGGAAGCAGTCCGAATGGAGCCGAATCGCCGATCCACGAGTGACTCGAACCCTCCGTAGCGACAGCCACACCACCGCAAACTCCCGCACCATGCTGTGGGCATGATGGAAGGGACAGACTCCTCTGCCCCTGGCCGGCCAGGTGAGCACTTGTCACAAAGCCCCAGCCAAGAGACGACGCATCCGTGAACACATCAAGCGAGGGCTCGGGTAGGCACTGCACCCAGAAAAACTCGAAGAGGAAGATTCCGACGTTGATAGGAAAACAAACAAGCGAGCAGGACGTCACACTTACCGTTCCACTTGTGTTATACTCAAATTGAATGTCCGTCGAGACATAACCAATCACAGGCAAGTAGGCCTCTGACGTCATGCCAGACAGTCAGTCACCAGCCATGCTCCCAGCAGCCCAGTTCTCCCGACAGACTCAGAGTAGGTGGACCTCGGCTGGCCAGATATACGCCCTGTTTGTCTCAGTCAATAAATATACATAAGTGCCTACTGTGTCTACATTCTCCCCCGCAAGGCGATGAATACTGGTAGCAGCAGTGGGATCCAGGATTTTTTTTCTGGAAACGGAAACTCCCAAGTACCCATATCGTCACATGTTCCATCACCACCGCCATCAGCCGCCTCCATAAGCCGCCATCCTGCCACCCACGCATCAATTATTGTACCAGACCACACACTAGAAGTTGAAGGGACGACGACGTTTCGGTCTGTCCTGGACCATTCTCAACACAATCGACTTGAGAATGGTCCAGGACGGACCGAAACGTCGTCGTCCCTTCAACTTCTAGTGTGTGGTCTGGTCAACATACTTCAGCCACGTTATTGTGACTCATCGCCTACAAATTATTGTACCAGTCCGGGGTCCTGCCATCAACCACTGCTCCAGGCCAACGTCTCAGAAGTAAGGGTCAATAATTTCCTGTTTGAACGCTCATTCATCAGTGAGGAGGAAGGAAGCTTCCCGCGCCAGCCATTTTTTAATCACGCGCCCACGTGGGAACCACCACCACCACCACCGCCACCCAAGCTGACAGTATCAAAGCTTTGTGAGTGTTCAAGCTACTGCAATCGTCGTCAGTCATCGTCGCAAGTATCAACTGATCATCGTATGTGTTGTATTGTTCCTAGAGAGTATTTGGTGGACTGCAATTGTTTGACTTAAGTGTTGCCACCAGCTCACACACCTCGCCATGTTGCCACATCGACACATTGCCTCCTCTCACCATCGCTACAGCCCCCTGCTACACCACTCTGCTGTGAACTCCGGCCTCGAACATCGTGTTTCCTTCGCCATCATTGTCGTTGTCAGAATTTATCTTCGCGCTTCCAACATCATTCCTAGTGTGGGGTCTCCCGAGCTTCGCGTCACTGCCGCCAGCTGCGCTGCCATCGCACCAGTTTGTAAACAAACCCTCACATGTGCCTCTTCAAAACGCCCTGTCGCCGTTTTTCGTATTGGCCACTGTTATATTGCAAATCCTGCAGCCCTGAGTTAAGTAATTGAGAGCTAAGATATCGTGTGCTATGTTTTAAAGAGGTTTAATGTAAATATATCCACAATATCTTACGAATTAACCTTTCAGTGACTTGTTAAATATTGGAGCTGGTTCAGTACTCCACTCCCAAAGTTTCCCCAAGTGATTTCAACATTCCTGCTTCTCTCAGTAATTTCATTGAATATTAATTGTGCTACTAGTGTGTTATTGGTAAATTCAAATTCCAGTGAAGTAAGAAATCCTTGTTTTAGTAGCAGTTAAGGATTTGTACAATATAATTTTTTTTTAATTCCTCCAGGCCTAAAATTGAAATGTATTCCTTCAACATTTCATATCATAATTTTTACCATAGCAATTATATACATTTCTGTGTCCAGTTTATGTGTTACATCCATATTTCTTGCATTGCCACTTGTTGTGTCGAATCATTTTTAATGAAATTTTGCAATTGCACTTTCCAGTTTTTATTCTAAATTGCTGTGCTTAGCCTGGGTTTAACCCTTAAATGGCGCATAGCTATATACTATTTGACACCCACAGGTGCATACCAAAAAAAAAAAAAAAAAAAATTATTTTTTCTTCCTAACCTGTTAATTTGTGTTCACTGATCACGGGAAAAATAATAAAAAAAATCGTAAGTGGCATATATTGCCCACTATAGGGCGGGGAAGTGTGACAAAAATCAGGCGCTGACTGAGCGTGCGTCCCAGGCAGTCTGTTGATCGCCAGCTGTCAGGCCAGAGTTTCCACAAAGAGATAATTACCTAATTATTTTAATGTCTCCGATTGATTTTTCGTAGTTTTTTTGCTGTATTATTATTCAATAGTGTGTAGTGTGATATATTTTTATAATAAAATGAGTGAATCATCGCTGTACTCAAAAATATGGTGTGCATATTGTTGATTCAATTATGTTCATCAAACAGTGAACAAATACATTGTCGGTTATTACACTATATACACAGGTTATATATAAGTATCTGCATGTTTTGTTCACCATGACAAACCACTAAGTTGGTATGCTGAGTGGCAGTGGCAGTGGCAGGCAGTGACTGGCTGCCACTGGCTGCCACTCCCTCCCTCACCTCACCTCATCTGACTTGCTACCATTCTCCACCCACCATACTGTTTTTGCTTTTATATACAGACGTTACATATAAGTATTTACATGTTTTGTTCACCATAACTGTACATCTAAGCTTGTATGGTGAGTAAACGCACAAAGATGTAGCTACTCACACAGTCAGCTGGTGGCGGCCGCCCTCAAGGCCAGACGCACTAATATTTCTCCTACAACAATAATGTTTGTGGTGTTATTACGCTATATACACACATTATATATAAATATCTACCTGTTTTATTCACCATACTTGTACAAGTAAACTGGTATGGTGCCCAAAGACCATCGTGGTCATCAGTAAACAACATGATAAGTCCTGCAGATGACGCTCCTCCCTCACCAAAATGGCGGCTCCCAACCTACTCTCGCTGTTATCTCACACTATACACACGTTATATTTTATTTTATTTTATTTTATTTATATATATACAAGAAGGTACATTGGGTTTGTGAGAATACATTGGATAGTACAGTATATACATTCTTGTAAAGCCACTAGTACGCACAGCGTTTCGGGCAGAATATATAAGTATCTACATTTGTGTTCACCATAGCGAACCACTAAGCTGGTATGGTGAGTACAGTCAATAAAAGGTGGCCACACACAGTCAGAAGACAACGCCACCACCCTCCCTCCCACAGCATTACTCCTCCCTCCATGGTGCACAGCGCCAAATATCACCACAATCCTGCTATTATCAGAACCCTGGTCAGTTTTATCACAGTCAGGGGTCTTCTGTAATAATATCATTGCTACATAATAGCATGAACAAGTATATTATGGCATTTTTAGGCGATGCTGTGGTCACAAGCTGAACAGCAGTGCTGTGAGCTCATGCTGCATGTGTCAGGCTTGGTAGCTGACTCA